AAAAGTGAGTCGCATACGCGATCCAGAACCCTTCCACATTGCCAACCTTGTCAAATGTGGAAATCCTCTCGAAACAGTCAAAGTTCGCATTTAATGATGCAATTTCCAATCGTCAACAATTGTGCACTCGAGAGTGAACTGGCGCTGACATCTGAACAGGAAATCCAATAATTAATTTAACTCACAATGAAGATTTTTAATTTAGCATAAAGTGCCGGATGTTTTTTAATTAACGCGACCGAATGGACCCTTCAACGGGTTCAGAATATTCATTAGAAAAATTAATTAGGTCCCTAATCGAGTAAAAGTTCCACGTTTATTGAGCAACTAATTCGAAAACATTATTTGGGGAATTTGTAATTTTAATAAACACACTAAAATCGCCTAAAAACCAATCCCTTAAGTAATACATCAATCATCATCATTTTAGCTGGATTTTGCGACATTTTCAATATTTCTTATATCTTATTAATTTGCACGTTTTTTCCAGTTTTTGCATTTGGAAGAAGTTACAGTGTGCTATTCATTGCAAGAGCGCTTCAAGGCATCGGATCGTCTTGTTCCAGTGTATCTGGAATGGGCATGCTGGCCGAAAGATATCCAGATGACAAAGAAAGAGGAAACGCGATGGGAATAGCTCTGGGGGGCCTCGCCCTTGGAGTCCTCATAGGGCCCCCTTTCGGGGGGCTCATGTACGAATTTGTGGGAAAATCGGCCCCCTTTCTAGTGCTGGCCGCGTTGGCCCTTGGCGATGGACGTGAGTAATTAACCAATTGTTCAGCAAAAGAAGGTTGAAACTTGCACTTAAAAAGCCAATAAATTTGCGTCGTTTTCCATACTGCATGTTTATCTTGCAGAACGTCAGCACACACTAGTTTAAAATCTATTTATCACATGATTGACCCCAAATGGAAGCCTTATTTGCTGCAGGGGAGAAAATGGGGTTCTCCATATTTGCCCCTATGAAAAAATCTGGAAAATGCTTCTTTTTCCCGGCGTTATTCGCAACAGTAACTTTTAGCCGCTATTGGAAATTTACTTAAGCAGCTCGTTTCAGTTTGGCGAGAAGTTTAGATGGTTTTAGCGGGAAGAGTATGCTTCTGCAAATTTTCTGCAAAAGAATAAAAATTCGGTGCTTTAAAGAGAGTTTCAGTCTGCTGCCAATATCGAAAAAATCGCTTGCGACTCTATTGCAATAACTCCTCCAAGTGTTGTTAAGGGTGAGGGAATCGGGCCGATGTGCAGATAAAATAGCTATTCAGGGGATAAAAGAGTACATATATTGAGTTCAGAATAATGAAAAAGAAGTCGCCTGCAAAATCGGACGTTTTGTGACTCGACGAAGATCCGATAAGAATGAGCTGTAAATCGGCAACTAAACGGTGGATGGCAGCGCGGATTTCCCTATTTTATTTATCGTCTTGTGATACGATTTCAATTTGGTTCGCAATTTTACATGTGTGTTATGCGATGGAACAGTTGTTTTCCCTAAAGAAATTTTATGATATTGCGAACTTTTTTACATCGAATTTGCTTCCGAGGCAGTTCGTTTTGTTTGACTTTTAACTGGTTTTTTTTTGGCAAGTTCTTGGTACATTTCAGCTTTGGCAAATTTAGGACAACAACATTGTTTCGATTTCGATGAATTTTTGCAGCTTTCTATGTAAGATTTTTTCAAATCAATTTGTTTTCTTAGTATTACAGTTACTAATGCTGCAACCATCAGTAGTCCATCAAGAATCAGACCCCCCATCATTGCGAGCACTGATCATGGATCCATATATTATGATAGCAGCAGGTTGGTTTACTATTTAAAGATTTAAAAAAAATGTTATTTATTTTATTGATTTTAAATATTTAATTGACGAAAGCAAGTTTGACAAAGAGCACCCAGTCTTCTACACAAGCAATTTATTACAAGGCAGTCAGAAACCCAACATGTTTCGAGTGTCTAAACTACGCATCATCAGGGGCCAAGCCTGTGTGCTTTTTACTAAAAATATTTAATCAATCCTCGAGCCCATAGAAAAAAAATATGCAAAAGTTGATTTCGTTCTGTTTTTTAGGGGCGATAATTTTTGCCAACATGGGCATCGCGATGTTGGAACCGTCGCTACCCATCTGGATGATGGACACTATGGGTGCTGAACGATGGAAACAGGGAGTAACTTTTCTTCCCGCCAGCATCTCCTACTTGATCGGAACGAACCTGTTTGGGCCGTTGGGGCATAAAATGGGCCGATGGTTGGCCGCCCTTTTGGGCCTTATTATCATCGGAATATGCCTTATGTGTGTAAGTGGAGCAAAAGCAAACGCTGCATAGTTTGGCTTGTTTCTTAAGATTTCTACACTTTCTACTAAAATTGTTTGATTTATTGAGCCCTATTCGAGTTAACACGTCCTCATTGAACATACCGAACAATTCCGGCTTTTTAAACTGATGTCTTTTTACCCTCATCGCGCGTTCGCCTATCTTGTTTCACTGAAACATTTGCTTGATACCTTCTTAGGTAAAAAGTTGTTAAGCACACATGATATTCACAAAGATCGGTAAACAGAATTTCATTTCCTATTTCCTTAGTTTTACCTTTTAGGGCATCGGCTACTGCCGCTTTCTTTACCGATCGCTTCCCGCAGAAAATTAATTGTTATTGACTGTATGACGCAGTGCAAGCGACTCTTGTTTGCATGCTTTCACAAACATTTAAACAGATTGTCAGGCTTTTATTATTGTGCAAAATATTTATATTTAGAAGACGTTTAGATCTAAAAATTCTGCAAATCTGCTTCAAATCACACGTAATCCTGACTTTTTGCAACGGCGCAAATGTTCGCTTCGAGATAAACGTGTTGACAGAAAAGCATCATCGGGTTGAAAAAAATCATAAGTTCTAGTCTGGAGTAAAAAGTGATGAAAAACTGCTACAATCAATAGACATTTGCGTCGAAACTTTTGCCAACTTGGTAAATATTGGCATAAAAATGAGCGTTCTGACACAATTGCATCGTCTAGTTGAAAAAATCATAACTTCTAATCTAGAGCAAAAAGTTATTAGAAACTTCTACAATGAAAAAAGACGTTTCAATAGGAAAGTGGTAAAAGTGCCACTCAAAGCACAGTTAGTCCTTAGAGTCCTCTAGACCTTAGTTTGAACATAAAATGCATATTCTGGTTGGAAAAAATCATAACTTCTAAT